CGTCGTCTGCCGCCTTCGCAGGTGACCTTCTGCCTTCCGCCGGGGCTGGAGTGCACAGAGGAGCTGATGGTCTGGTACAGATTCATCCGCAAAGTCAGTCCGTCCTGCTAAACAGCACTGTTCGCTTGCAATGTCGCGTCCGCATGCTGCAGGACGAGGCGACCGGTCGGCGAGTTCGAGTCCTCTGGCAGAAGGACTACTTCGGAATTGGCGGCAGCCGCGAGGACATCAACACGTACGGCAGAAGCACGAGATACAACTTTTCGCGCTACGATCTGCCCTACAACCTCAATGAAGGTGAGAGGGAGAAGATGGACATTTCAGCCGTCTGTTGCACAGATTCTTACACTCGCCACCCGCATAACATCATTTTCCGAAGAAATTAGAACACAAAGTTTGGAAAAATATTAAAATAAAAACCCCCATTTCTCATGGCAGCACTTTTTGACAAATTATAGTTTTTTGATGGACCTTAAAAGGGGGTCTGAATCTGAGTTATTTTGTAGGCCTAAAAATTCCCTTCCCAAGTGGCAGAGGAGAATATCGTTTTGGTAGCAAGTCTACGGAAAAGTCAATTGTTGTGGAAAACTTTGACAAATGAATTATTCTCGTCCTATTTCAAATAAGCGAATGAACAACTGGTAGTTGAATTCTCCCACAATCATCTGAGAAGAGCTGATGTTTTACATTTAATTTCACATAGATTTGATTTCCCAAAAGGTATTCTCATCCAGAGTGAACCGCAGTTTTGACTTCGCCTCGGTCGAACCATCCTAATGCAGCGTGTAATTTCGACACGTCGCAGGACAGAGGTGAATTTCAAGAAAAATAGGCTTTTCCCCATATCGTCGATTAAGCAAACTTATATTTGCTATAGCGATCGACGATCTTAGTTATAATTTGTTTTTGGTTCGTTTTTCGAGACTACCAATAAATCAGATATGTGAATTATATACACCCTATTTCGTTCAAGGAGATGAAGGATTGATAGTTGAATTTTCATAAAATTATATGAGTAGATATGAACTTTCCATCGAATTTCACATTGCCTTGCTTTCAAAAAGGTAATCGCATTCAGGGTGGGTTCCAGTTTCAACCTCGCCAGGATCTTATCGACACCCCAAGGGGATTTGTACTATACCAGTTCATCGAGTTAGAAATTGCAGTTCATCCTAGATGAGAATTCCTTTTGGTAAAGCAAGCCAATGTGAAATTCAATTAAAATTTCATATCTACTCATATAATTGTGGGACAATTCAACTCTTAGTCCTTCATATTATGAGCATAGCTGTTATTCAAGAGCCACTGGTAGCCTCCATATTTGCTCAATCCAAATATTTACTCAAGTCTATATTCTTTTTTGCCATTTATGGCTAAAATGATATCTTGGACTCCACACTGAGGATCTGAAAAAGCCATTTCGATTGCGCAGAATATTAAATATAGTTTTAGCAATATACTTTTGACTGTCACAACAAAAAGTTTTTTTGTTGACCTAACTTCTGCGAATTATTTAATGCGCTTTGATTTTTAGCCAGCTACCCTTACTACTAATGTATATGATGCATGTATAGAACAAAAGGCTATTTGAAACAATTATAACTTATAAAATCATGCAATTGCCTTCATTTTAATGAAAAAGATTGATAAAAGCTTTAAAATTCTTTTTTATATAAGAGCTAAAGATAATCAAAACGTATTAGAAACGCAATGTTTATTAAAAGCAAAGCAGTTTCAAAGAGTATTTTGTATGCACTCAATTTCGTTTAAGGTGATGAAGGACTGGTAGAAGAAAAATTTTCCCACAATGATATGAGTTAAGCTGACGTTTCCATTGAATTTCACATAGCCTTGCTTTCCACCCTGGATGAGAACAAATTTTGGTAAAGCAGGGTTATGTGAAATTGAATGGAAACGTCAGCTCAACTCATAATTGTGGGAAAATTCTTCTTCTACCAGTCTTTCATCACCTTAAACGAAAATGGCTGAATACATCTCATATTACTGATATACTGGTAGTCACGAAAACAATACTTAATTCGAAAAATGATTTTTATTTTGTTTGAAAAGGCGATTGGAAGCGATTTGTAATTTGGCCTCACCGGAATCTGTAGAGGGATTGTCTTGAAGCTATGACTATATATTTGTGTGGATAATGCCTCGGCGCAACACCCTACGATTCTGATGAATACTTGCTGAACTTTCGTCCGAACTGTGGCGGACATGGTCAAGCAGGACGCCAGGTTTAACAATAATTCACCAAAACACGAAGACAGGAAAGTTGGCCGGCTTCAATCCTACCTACTTCTTATAGTCTAAATTGTTATTTGAGCAAACGATTGTGCAAAGTTTTTTCCTAAGTAGGATGCTTCAAAGGCTGCGATTTATCCTTGGTCTAAAAGCTCCATTAAAAAAGTGTTTGTAGGTAAAAGAACCTCATTTACATATCCGCACGGCTCTGTCATAGCAACAACTTTATTCCTAAAGGTTGGCTTCCTATCGGATGGTGCCAGTGCTCATTTATTTCCTTTATTTCAGATTGATGTATTATATTATAGTCCCTACCCCTTGATTGCATGCATTCCAACAACTCTTCCCATTTTATAATCCCTATCACAAGGGTTGTGACTTTTATTACATTAAACTTTTTTTCTAATGTAATCAGTAATCATTTCTTTTTCCATCTCCAATATCCACGATAATATTTTTACTTTTTACTCTATACCTAAAGGGGGCTGTTATAAAATCTTTATCATACTTTAGTGCACATATGTTAAAAAAAAAGAACTGCATTTTGGATCGTATTACATGCAGCCTGGTCTAAATTTCTTCCTCGTACTCAATCGTATTTCGCACCATTCAAACTCGGAGTAATTGTGACCTTTTTATGCAAGTATGTTAACAACCCAAACTGCATCTAATATAGACGCTATATGTAAAATTGGTGATAAAGTTCGCTGAAGCGAAAAAATATTGACGCTTGCTGATATTAATTAAAGATGGAGCGGAGAGATACCTCTGTGAAAGCATGGCACATAGTCTGAAATGTGACGTCGAGATGTGGTGTTCGTGGCCAAATCTCGTTTGCGCTTAGTTGGAGATGTTTCCCTATTTCCTTATTTGGAGGATAGTGAATGAGACCTCGATCTAAGCATACCCATTTGATATAAATACTCGATTTTGCTTTATAAGTAGGTTTTCAAGGACTTGTAGCCGAATTTTCCCACAACCTAAAGAGTAGGTCCTACGTCTCCATTTAGTTTCACATAAATCCTTGCCTCCTAAAACGTAGTATCATCTTTGCAGGAGTGGCTCTATTTTTGACCTCATCTCGCTGGTCGACTCAGCATCCCTAGTGGGACTCGAACCCTGTTATTGTATCGTATATCTCGACACGTAATTACCTTAAACGAAAAAGGTGAATATATACATATATATATATATATATATGTGTGTGTGATCTACTGGTAGTCTCAAAAACCTACTAAAAATATAAAATAAGTGATGTAGCCGATTGCCATAGCAAATACAACTTTGCTTCATTGACAATCCAACCACAGAATGTGACAAGATAAAAAAACTGGTTTTCATCTAAATTTGTATCTGCCCTGTGATCTGCTACTCACAGCAGAGTAACGTTGTGGTTAAAATGTCGTTATCATATGTTGTACTATCACAATCCGGATTAAGCCCCGTCGGTGTTGCTGATGAGACCTATTAGAGGTCGAAACTTCAGTCCATCTTAGATGAGAATAGCATATATGAAATTCGATGGAAACGTAAGGCTACCTCGTATGCTTGTGGGAAAAATTAAATAACCAATTATTTAAAACTTTGAACAAAATAGGGTGAATAAATTTCAGAACAATTCTCATTGAATACGCTGATCTGGCCCAGGCGAATTTGAAATTACAGTCTTGCCTGTAAATTATACTCCATAGTATATTAAGACTTGCTGTTTAGACTCTGAGAAAATATCCACCTTTGGTCCATAAAATCATCAAACACGACCTAATATGACTAATTTACTAAGACTTAGTCTTTTCTGAATTTACTTATTATGAATATAAGTAGTCACTTATTGTCTGAAGACAACCAAGTCTTCAAAGTGAGGAAAGCAAAGTAGCCTGAAAAGATTATAATGTCTTGTTAAGCGAAGTCACAATGCAAGAAACACAGAAAGAGAATTGTCGGGCGTCCTTTAATGGGATTTTGCAACCCCATGCCCATCAGGCACACGGTATACTCTGAAATGTCTAGACGGTAGCATAAAATCTCGAATACGACATGTCATGCATGGTCAAAACTTCTGACCATATTCCTGTTATATTATCAAGGTAAGGTCAGAAGTAAAAACATGCGGACGAAGGTATTGAAGGTACTTAATTAAATAAAGACTTTGATACTCTGTTATCAAAGTGAGATCGAGAAAAAGGCATACAAACACGAACACGCATTCTCACCTTTATGACATGATCAAAGCCACAATGGCCTGCTTTAACAACCTAACTCTTATGAAAGAACAGGACTCTTTCAAGCATTGATGGAATGATACACCTCCATTTGTAGCCCAAACCTTGGGTGTGATTCCGGCCGTCAGTACCTGCGGCATGAAGGTTGACCAGCTCGTTTATCAAGCGTCAAACAATTAGACCTTTACTACGCATCTCATCTACGAGCTGAACGGTCAGTGACGTAAATTAAGGAAGTAAAAATGTGAAAAACAAATTTAAAGTAACACGGTCAGAAAGACATACTCCCAGCGATACAGCAGTCCAAACATGATACGGTAAGAAACCAGGCTCATCTTTCCTCCCTCATTCGAGCTCATGTGCTCGGGTCTAATTAAGTTTGCGTCAAAGTTCTCCAGACCGCCGTATAATCACGAATTACATAGTACAGTCTGACAAGTTGCTGTTTTCTTTTTCTTTTTAGATGAAAAGTAATTCGATCATCTGGCTGGACGAACTTTATGTTTTAAAAAATAGAGATTTCGATTAAATTCTATCTTCAATTAAAAGACGAATATCTCTTAATTTCATTCATCCTCAACATATATTGACGTCTCAATTATACGAAGACTATGGATGAATGGATAGTTGAATTGTGAAGTGAGTCAATGAAGGAAGGCACGAAAATACTCATTTTTTGTGTAATGGACAAACCATCTAATGGAAAAATAAATGGACAAGCAGTTGGGTTAGTTGAACAGTGTTTAGATGATGATGAACCTGAATGCATACATGAGTGCGCTGAGCACTGGAACCTGTCAAAGCGAGTATAAAAATACTGGATAGATAGAAGAATTAGTCTATTGCCGATAGATCTATTAGATAATAAATAGCCGGAAAGTTACTCAAATAATGGGCGGATCTTTAGAGCATTG